CACACAACCTAAATAGTAATCCTGCAATTAATCCATCAAGTACAAACCCTAGATCATGAATTTCGCCATTTCATCAATAGAATTGTTAATGATTAAAAGAGAAAAAGAATTCAAAAAAGTTCCCAAAATGTTGAAGATTCAATGCTGAAAAAAGGAGAAATTCATTCCTAGGCTCGTCTCTAAACTCAGTCTCAGCCAAAGTAGGATTTTACAGACTGTTTAAATAGGAAAAAATGATAAGTGGGTGAAATTGGGCTGCACACGGTCTCGTGCACGGCATGTGCACGATCATAGTGCGACCAAGAATTCCGTCCAAAACCCTGACTCGTGCGCACGATCGTGCTCACACTTCTGAGAGCAGTCAAACACGCACATGGCATGCACGAATTGTGTGCACGTCGTGTGCACCGTCCGTCCGAATAACATAGCTACACGATCATGCGCACGACATGTGTACCTCGCGCACGATCATGCATATCTCTTTCAAAGTTTTTAATTTGGATATTTTTCGTTCACTAAATTGTAGCTAAATAAGTCAAATCCAAGACAACTTGAATAATTGAATTTCGATCATCCCATCGAAAGATATGAATGAATTCATGAGAGATGTATCCTGGAACTTCAACGATGATTATCAGACTTTCTCATTTGATTTCACCTTGACGCTTTCATATTCTCGTCATGGTGTCTTCAGGTGATTTGTAGAACATTGACATATCTTTCACAATGACATTTGTTTCATTAATTTGCATTTGTCTGCGAAAAGATATGCTCAAACCATTAATAGAGTGTCATCCTGATTTAAGGTTGCGAGTTGACGGTGGTCCAAATAGACGTTTTCAAGTTGTAACTCTCCTTGTTGATATCAAAAGTCCATCTTGAGTTACTTTCATCTTTTACCTGACATATGTCCTTCCAAAAACACTAAGACCCACATAAAACATAGAAAAAGAAATCTTAGCAAAACAATGCAAAACTACACTAGGAATGTGAACAAATTACTTTCTTCTGAACATTAAAGTGTGTTGGAAAGCGGACATCACACACATTAGCGGTGGTCGGGTCAACTCTAGCCGTCCAAGTAAAGCACTTTCACACTCGACCACGACGATCAATTACTCTTCACGGGAGTGTTGAGAACAGATCTCTATTTAAGTTCTTCAACTATCCTCGAATAAAAAATTAATAATTATAAAGAACATACATTGCACATATACAAGTCGAAAGTAATTAACTATCAAAATACATCCAAAGGATACAATATTTAACATAAAAAATAATTAAATTTTGAATTAAATTTAAATATTACTATCAAAATACATGCAAAGGATACAATAGTCTTATTAAAAAGTCGTATACACCTTCGAAAAAGTCCAATATAGCAACACAAGGACATGGATAACAACAATATAATGCAGTAGTTGTAGTAACAATAATAATAAATACAATAATCATAATAGTAATAATAATAATAATAATAATAATAATAATATAATAATAACAGCAGCAACAACAGCAACAACAACAACAACAATAATCATAACAATAATGATAATAGAATAAAAGAACACTCACCAAACCATGTTAGATTTCTTTTATGAATTCTATTTTCTAAATGATTCCGAAAAATAAAGCTTTCCATTAAAATCCTAGCGGCCGTCTCCCCTCTTTGTAGGGATTGAAGTTTTTCGCCGCGCCTATCAATATGGGGCTGGAGCGACAAATTATACTGATTTTAAGTGTTCTAACGCTTGAGATTGCAACTACGTAGGAGGAGATAACGTTGCGGATGAATGAGTTGCGGCTGAGAGTTTGTATTAGTGCTAGATACTGAAGCCTTGGTCGGCGCTCCGACAGTGGTGGAGTTGGTATTCACCCATATTGCAAGAGCTCGTCCTCATCCGGAACCACCTCCAATGTTTGAATTTTGGACTTCTTTTGATAGCCAGGGTTTCAAATCCGTTTGTTTTAGACTTAAATTTACCGGTTTTAGATTTATGCATAATGTTCTCCAACTTCTTTTATTAAGTCTTTCGAATTTCATCTAAAACCAATTGCGATTTCTAATTCGGGTATTAGCGCTTAATAGGACTAAAATTAGCTCAAAATTCAACAATAGGAGTATAATCCCTTTATTCCCAAAATATGACTAATATATGTGCCTTCTTCTCATTCTATCCCCTTCCTATAATTTCCAATAGATTTATTTTATTAATAAGAAAATCATACTTTATTTATAATAATAATAATAATAATAATAATAAAATATATATATATAATAATGGAATCGTGTGGCAATAATACCTGTTCCCGCCTTGGATTACGCTTGCAGCACATATGATCTAAATTGTAATTATCGTGCAAATGCTGGAAATATAAAAAAGCTGTTGAATCCATAACCGTAACATCAATCCCAAAATTCAAGCATAATGTTCTGAATACTTCTAGCGATGTGTTCTACTACCCCGTGGCATACTTTTGTAAATTAATTATTTTTAATAAATCAGCCAAGTAGAGAAAAAAGAAGAATAAACACCAATAATATTGTGGCAGTTTACTCTCCAATTGCTGCCACGATCCGTCGACCACTATACATAGTTTATCAAAATCAATTGCAAAATCAACAATTTGAACCCGGCCCTAAGGCTCTTAGGGTTAGGTACGGAAGATGGCGCAAACACCTTGGGATGCATTTTCATGATTCTGAGTTACGTACATGTATATGAAAAAATTCATTGTGAATATAGCATGAACATTAACAAGCAAACTCATTTTTATTTCAAATGCAAGGTGACCAAATTCTTACCTCACTTTTTTCTACGACAAATATAATACTGCAACTTAATAAAGACAGAAAATTTTGACTTTTAAAACTAACAAAAGAAGGTTAACGTTATTTATTGGTGGATCTAAAAGATGATAGTTCACGGAGTAGAGCATCTATTTTGTATGCATATGTGACCTTAGTCCCAAACAATCACCAAGTTAAATAAGAAAAAGTACTAACATTAATTAATAGCATGCCAATAAAATCATATCACGGTAGGTGTTTCCCACATCCTTTTTACTTCAGTTTTACAAATTTGGTTTCTAACAAACAATATAAAAAAGAAAAACGAGAAATATCTTTTTCCTTTCAAACAAATATTGTGATATGTATTCAATTTTCGCTTAGCACTTTTTCAAGCATACTATATCTATATTTGTTAATGGAATTACTAGAAAAGAACTCTTACAACGAGAGTTGCTATCTAAGTATACTTATTTTTTCTTGAAACTTATATAGCAAATTCTCCTCACAATCATCACTATATGAAAACGTTGATGAGATAAAAACGTTGATGGGATCGTGAGATTGAATTTGACTTTATAACATATACTCCCTCCGTCCCGCTAGAAGACTCCCGTATACGGTTTACGATGTTTGACTGACGATAAAATAACTTAATCCCTGTTCACACTCTAATTTTTTTATTAAATAAAATTAACATATTCAGAAACTATATTAAAATCGTTACAAAGCCTGATAAAAAATGTAAGTTTGGTGAAAAATTGATTTATAAAGTAAAAGATTAAAAATGATTTAAGTTGACCATGAGAATAGTGGACGTGAACCTTCTGATGAAAATTGATTTTTAATATCGATTCTCTAAGACATTATAGTACGTCTTCATAGATTGTATGGTTTTTATGATATACCGGAGTAGTAGTGTTAATTTTATTTGTAAATTGTCGATGTACAACAATATAAAAATATTTGAAACCCTATCGTTTAAGTCTCATTAAAAGTAAACATATTGTTCATTGACAATTCAATTTAGAAAAAATTGTCAATAAAATTTTGAAAATGTTATGTCTGATGCATCGCACGGGTATAATACTAGTATTTATAAATTAATAATAAAAACGTGAAAAAACAAAACAAATTTAAAAAAAATAAATAATAAAAATAAACAAAATATTTAAAAAACTTAAAAAAGTCTAAAAAATAAAATAAAATACCTAAAAAATATTTAAAAAATATGCAGGTCACTGCCAACGCGTCCTCTACCTCCCAGCACCACCAGCTCCAGTCGTCAGAGAAAATGTCATCTTGTATAAAAAATGCCACATTTCTCTGAAAATGCCATAAAATGACATTTTACTGTTTGAAAATATCTAGCTTTCTCTTCAAAATTGCCATCATGATGACATTTTTTCCTCAACTTGATAATCTTTTTCGGCAACCGAAGGTGGTGGTGGTGGAAGGTGGGTGAGGTGGTGGTTGAGGTCTGTAAATTATTGATTTTTATTGTTTAAAAAATACTATTAGGAAGGACAAAGGAAAGGGTAGAATTGAAAGAATTAGTCATATTTTGAGAATTTAAACTTTAAACTCCTATTATTGCAATTATCCTTTTATTTAGTCCTATTTAGGTAAATCTCCCTTTCTAATTATTCAAAAGCCTAATTTTCAAAAAAAAAATTATTCAAATTTCTAAATAAATTTCAACCCATAGAAAAGTCTAAAACGGTGTAAGCTTCAAGCTAGTTTTCTTCCGGAAACCAAATTGACTCATTGAGAAGGAAGTAACCATGATAGTTGACAAGTGAGTTATTTACTTTTTTTTGATAATCCAGGTGTCGGGGCTTACGCTCCCATAATCCTGGACTCTATGATCCCATAATCCTGGAATCTATGAACTATCCTCCAAAGCCACTAGACAGTTAAATCCGGATCTGCTCCAAAGGACGAATCAAGTTTGCTTCTCCCACCACACGAACTCGCTACATTCATTACCATTCTCTCTCTTCTCACCCGCTTAGCAACTCCGTGAAAGTAGAAAGAAGCATTATGACCAAGATCTCCCTCATCTCCCCTTGGTTGGAATTGAATCCAGGAACTCCCACGTGCGTTATTTACTTACTTCAATGGGACATGGTTCTGGCTACGAAAAGCTGCTGTAAATTTAGTATGTAGTCCGTAATTAAATTAAAAATATTTAGCATCGTTTTATTCTGTATCATTTACAGTCATTCTGCACCTGATTCCCAGTGAACTGCTGAAAGAAAACAATTCAATGGCTAAATTTTTCTGAACTCTGACCCCTTGAAGTATGAATGCTTCAATAAATTGCTTTTCCCTGTTCTTCCTCCTGCACTTTTCTCTTCTCTTTCACAAGGTTCCCTGCGCAGCAATAGACAGCATAACCTTGACCCTCTCTGTCAGAGATGGAGATGAAGAGAGCAGCATCGTTTCTTCTAATGGAACCTTCGAGCTCGGATTCTTCAGTGCAGGTATTTCGTCTGAGAACCGATATGTTGGCATATGGTACAAAAGCGTATCTCCTAGAACAGTTGTGTGGGTTGCCAACCGGCAAACCCCTCTAAACAGTAAATCCGGTGTCTTGAAATTAACAAAATCCGGGTCCCTTGTTCTTCTGGATGGAGCTACTAATAGAACTATCTGGTCAACTAATGCCTCAAGATCTGTGCAGAATCTCACTGCTCAGCTTTTGGATTCTGGAAATCTTGTCCTTAAATGTGCTGGTGATGGCCGCAATGGTGAGACGGAGAATGTTCTGTGGCAGAGCTTTGATAACCCAACTGATACATTCTTACCAGGAATGAACATAGGTTGGAACTTGGTCACTGGGCGTGACATCTATCTAACCTCATGGAAAAGCAGTGAAGATCCAGCTACAGGGGATTATACCTATTTCATGAGTCACAATGGTTATCCACAAAATTTCATGAAAAGAGGCTCAGATGTGATATATAGATCAGGGCCATGGAATGGTTTACATTTCAGCGGGTCATCAAACTCGAGACAGAGTCCATTCTATGAAATTGGATTTGTTTATAACGGAAGTCAAGCATACTTCACTAATAGGCTTCTGGGATCTGTCATAACAAGGGCAACTTTGAACCCGAATGGAGTTCTAGAACGCACAACATGGGTTCCTCGGATACGGAGTTGGACCATTTACCTTGATGTACCTGCAGACATATGTGATAGATATAAGCTGTGTGGTGCATATGGCCAATGCAACATTCAGAGCTCTCCTCTGTGTGAATGCCTTGACAGGTTTGTGCCGAAGAATCCAGCTGCATGGCTTGCAGCAGATTGGTCAAGTGGTTGTGTGAGGAGGACACACTTGTCTTGCAATGCAGGAGAAGGGTTTATGAAGTATTCTAATATCAAATTGCCAGACACGCAGAGAGTTTGGTTCAACAGGACCATGACACTCCAAGAGTGCAATGCACACTGCTTGAAAAACTGCTCTTGTGTGGCATACTCAAATATTGAAGTACAGAATGGAGGAGTGGGGTGCTTCATGTGGTTCGGTGATCTGCTAGACATCAGATTAGCAAAAGTAGGGCAAGATATTTATATCAAACTTGCAGCTCCAGAGTTAGGTAAGATATGTACTTCATACATTTCGATCAACTGTACGTCCATTCTCTATAAACACATGCACGACTGATAATTGCTACTCCATCCTAAATTACTTGTCAATTTAGGAAGTCAATGCACATTGTGTATCGATCTCCAAAGTTTGCCCTTATTAACTTGGCCCGTGTTAGATGCATAAAGTTTTTTGGGATGAAAATGCCATTCCGTAATATTCCATAGTATGTGTAAACATGTGAAAAACATCAACTAAATTGGGATGGAGTATACAATTTGAGAACAAGCAACACAAGTATGTGTAATTGCCCAATGATTCATGAAACTACTGTTTAAAGCTGCTTGTATATAAGCTTGATGATGCTATATAACATTACCCTACAAATTGTGGATGCTAAAATATTATAAAACTTATTGTCAAGATAATACCTGTCAACTGCATATCAATACTTAAGTAGCATGATGTGGGACAATGTTGACTTAATGATGTGAACCCTGGTTCACGGTGGGATTTGGAGATAAAAGAATCCCATATTCATCTCTTGCATTGACCTTTGCAGTATCTGGAGTCAGATCTAGTGGAAAGAAACGAAAGATCATTCTTACTCTGTTTCCTGTGGCTGGAGTGTTTTTTCTGACTCTGTTTCTTGTGGTATATTATCTAAGATCGAAGAAATGTTTAGGGCTCAAACGTAAAGGTAAGCAGGTTGGGAATCCTTTCTTCTTGATTTCTGAATAAAGGACATAATCCAATCCCTATTACATCATCTTTGGATAAGTTTTAAATTTAGTTACCTTATCTCAAACTAAAGCCACAACACGCCTATCATATTTCAGTGAGACGAAGGCATAGCAAGAGGGATTACAGTGATAAAAGCAACAATGGTGAGTTTGAGTTACCTGTGTTTGACTTATCGACAGTAAATAAGGCTACTGAAAACTTTTCAATAATGAGCAAGATCGGAGAGGGTGGATATGGACCTGTTTACAAGGTAAAACATGTATACAGCTATCACTTTTATCTTCAATGTGCCATACTTATTCTTAAATGAAACTTGTAGCAGACAAGGAAAGTTATCACATAAATTATGGAGCGAATTGGGGATCTGATTAGCCTGGATTATGGATCTATGTGTCTTAGCATAAATTTAGGGATCATATTAGTCCTTGATTGGTATTTAATTTATTTCGCGTTTCAAAAATTATGACTGTCTTATGGATCTGTGTCTTACCTTTATACTTTTGTGTCTCACCTTTATACTTTTGTGTCTCACCTTTATACTTTTGTGTTTGAAGCCCCATTGTAATGATGTGCACACATTACATGAAAGAATTAGATGGTGGATACAAACTAATGAATAATTTTTTTGTTATTTCTTTTCACAATATTCTATGTTTTTGGTTACCCTTTCTCAATAATTTCTGATACAATGTCTAGTTCTAGACATTGTGTGTGCTTAATATTGCGGAGAAAAGTTACCAAAAACATTGAAAAGGAAAAACTTTACATTTTTTGTGCCTATCTCTCTATAGATTGTTGTATTAGAGATGAACTTAGTGGAAATAGGGAGGAGGATATGGTTTAGAAAGAGCATAGCTATTAGGGAGAACAGTGTTGCTGCTCAAGTTATCGTGATTATGGGTTTCCTTTTAATTTCCTTAACAGATGTCTTTCCTACATTCTTCCAAAAGATTTTGATTATCAAGCCGTACATTCAAATACATAAATTCTCTAGGGCATTCTAGATAATGGACAGGAAATAGCTGTGAAGCGGCTCTCCGAAACTTCTACTCAGGGAGATGATGAGTTCAAGAATGAAGTACTGTTCATTGCTAAGCTCCAACATCGAAATCTCGTAAAAATGCTAGGATGCTGCATTGAAGGAGAGGAAAAGCTCTTGATCTATGAATTCATGCCAAATGGAAGTCTTGATGCATTTTTGTTTGGTGAGGCTTTTGTACAACTATTGCAAACATCAAAATTGATTTAAGAGAAGCAAATAAAAGGTTCAGCCATCTGAGATAGAGCCTTGAATGGTGCACAGGATTATGAGCTACTCATAAGTTATATTATTAAATGGAAATATTGTGCAACTTTTTTGGCACAATGTAATCATAATAATATATGACATTTTTTGCAGACGAAGAACCAAGCAGACATCTAGATTGGCCAAAGCGCTTCTGTATAATCAATGGGACAGCTCGCGGACTTACATACCTCCATCAAGATTCACGACTAAGAATAATTCATAGAGATCTAAAAGCTAGCAACATTTTATTGGACACGAACTTGGAACCCAAGATATCAGATTTTGGAATAGCAAGATCTTTTGGAGGGAATGAGATAGAAGCCAAGACAAACAAAATAGTTGGAACTTAGTAAGAATTTAGACGATTTCACTATACTAAGTGTATGTTTGGCACAACTAGTTGAAAAGATATTCTTGCGCCTTTAATAATTGTTTGCTTTAGTAACTCAAAAGTTCTTAAAATAAAAAGATTGTAGTTATTTGATAAAAACTGACTGTTTGATGTCGTCCTGTTTAAAATATTTGAAATAGGCAAATAGCTTCCAAAATGTGTTTGCCAAACATACAAATAAGAGTTTTAGAGATTTTTTAAATACTAAGATAGCTACAAGATGATGATTTATGCCTACCAAGCATGCACTTTATCTTCTGAACTTGTAAGTTTTAACATTTATGTTCATTTTTCAACACAGTGGCTACATCTCGCCAGAATATGCTGTACGGGGGCTCTACTCAGTAAAATCCGATGTATTCAGCTTTGGTGTATTGGTATTGGAGATTATAACAGGGCAGAGGAATACAAATTTTTGTCAACCTGAGAGTGATGACAACCTTCTTGGACATGTAAGTTTTACTCCCTGATGTTATGTTTCTCGTCTTGGTTTACAATATTTGGTTGGTGATAATCAATAAAGTTAACCTTCTAATGATATTTAACATTTTATTGTAGAGTAATATTTAAAGTTTACCTATTCAGAAATTACACAAGAAAAAAGAAAATACACTAAAAGCTCTTTTGAACATAAAAAATCCGATAATATGATAAAAATTGGAGACATAACATCATATAATAAAAGCAGATATTAAAAGGTAGTTTTGTTGATCGCAGCAATGGTGAATGAGAACCTTATTATGGGATGGGAGTATGGCTATCTTTGCAAATATTTTTACTTCACTAGCTAACCCAACTCTACTACTTTCTCTAGGCATGGAAGCTGCATAAAGAAGGTAGGTCAATGGAAATATTAGAGCCACATCTAAGTGACACACCAACTCTTTCAACATCTGAAGTGCTCAGGTCAATTCATGTGGCTCTATTATGTGTCCAGCAGCGTCCTGAAGACAGGCCAAACATGTCTTCTGTCATCCTAATGTTGAATAATGAAGGTGTTTTGCCCCAACCTAAACAACCAGGTTTTTTCACAGAGGACAACATTGCTTGTTCTCGCAATCATTTAATATCAACAAATGAAATGACCATTACTAGTTTACAGCCACGCTAGCACACATCTGAGGGTTTTTTGCTGATACTTTTTGGTCTATTGTTGTCCACAATCTTATGCTTTTAATGCTTTGATTTCTCAAATGTAAATACATTTTCCGGGCGAAGTCCAAATGGATAAGCATTCTTACCTTCATCGTCATATAAAGAGAAACTAGCTTACAGTTGCATGAGTGATGGGTCCATGACTCCATGTCACTATGCAGTATGGAAGAAGCTAATTCATAACCAACAAACCTGACCAAGGATACTAAGTGCTCTTAGGTCATCACATATCGGTCAAATACAGAAATATGAACATCGACTTTTAATGCTCTAATGAGCCACGATCATGTGATTACATGTTATGATGTCGTCATCATCATCATTCATCATCATCATTACCCCAGTGCCGCAAAGGCTCCCACCTACGGTGGGGTAGGGGGATCGGATGTACGCAGTCTTACCCCTGCACTAGAGCACAGAGAGACTGTTATAGTTTTGGTCGGATGTACGCAGGCTCCCACATGTTATGATGTCAAAATGCAAAAAAAATAAACCTAAATAGAAGACTGGCTACTTCTTATATTATAGTTTTGTGGGCACTGGGCAAACACAAATGTACAATATTTAATGTAACCATATAACATGATATTTTGGTAACCAATGTCAATACCTTGTATTTTATATGCACCATAGGCTCACAAAACTTAATCATTAGGAATTGGACCAAAGCTAAGCCATTATTGGATTCGAGACAATAATATCGGTCCACAAGTGAAAAAACGTATGTAGATATAATGTGCTATACTGCTATATGCGCAAGTAATGAATCAAAATGAATAAAACAATTTTTCCCTAGAAATCAAAATCATCCTGATTAGGCTTTGGGGAAGTCAACAAAGCTGTATATAGCCTGAGCCTTTCTTCTCCGAGTGAAGAACACCTAGACAACGGTCTCCTCGGCCTGATAAAGGAAAGAGAAGTGAGCGTTAAGCGATGTTTGTATCTCCGCCAGGCTAGTTGGATAGCAACTGCTCCCCAAGTCCTCCACCCAGGAGAATAATACCTTGCGCTTCTCTTCACTTTCTCATTCACAAAGGTGTATCTGAAGTGTTGGGTTACATACTTCACGTCTTGGGCATCCAGCCCAAATGCCTCTGTGGCCTCTAGTGTCACCAGGGTGCACGATGATGGGGGCAGCCGCTCCACAAATGGCCGTCGGAGACACCATGATAGGAGCTCGTCACCACTAAAGTTTCCCGGGCCTAACATGCAGCAACTTTTCACACCCTCTCGGAGTACTTGGCTGCTTTGAAGATGACCTCTTACTATAAACAACATTCTCTGCACTGGGTCTCCCTCTCTGGTTATCTACAAATTAAAAAAACACAGAGAGAGAAGTATATATGTTACATATTAGTGGTGCTTGGTTTCTTTGTCCAAATAATGGTAATTAGTGTTGCATTAACAAAAATTCACACAGTTGTGTTACAAACTTACAGTCTAGTTTATGACCCCAACCTAGCCTATTTTTCAGTGAGTATAATTATTTGGTTGACAGCTTTTAAATATTTAATACTCCTTGTTTCTTTTTGAATTTTGTGGTAAGATTTACATATTATTTTCTGATTGAGCTTACATAGTGACTGACACCATCTCATTTTAGCGTGTAGCTACTAGCTATGGACATATAGCAATATTTTAGCAGTAACTATGTGAATATGCATTCATATTTTATCAATTGTTTTGTTTTAATAATATTATAATAGAAAAAGGCCCAAGTTATTATTATAACGTTATGCCAACTTCACTAATATATTCCCAAAATGGTAATACTAATAACGCTTTAAACAAAAATCTGCGAATCATCTTCAAAATATTCTTAAATGTGATTTACCAGAATTGCAAAAATGATGCCGTAAGAAACTTACGGTTTCCCCCTTTGTAAATATAAGAGATTTCACCCTGTCACAGATGTTCTCAAGAACCAAATTATCCATATGCTGAAATAGAGGTACCTGAAACATAGGTTTAAAGATTACATACTTCAGTAAACGAGAAAATGGTCAAAATGGTATACGAAGTTGTTTCAAGTAGAGTAAGTAGTACTCCATCTTACACTTGAAACTATAAAGTACATGAACTTGCACTTTTAAAGACGATTAAGTGCATTTGCTATGTTAAAGCATTAAAGTAGTTTGTAAAACTACTTGGTTAAACTATCAGTTTGTAATATATCGATGTAGTCCAAGTCATCAAATAATTTATCTATAAACTCTAATTTCCTCCGGTTCACCCGTTTCCACCTTCGCTCTTCATTTAATATTTCTCACGTTTGCTCTTTCTTCTCTCCCCTCTTCATCTTATATTTCTCTCATTTGCTCTCTCAGGACGGAGCCAAGGCACTTGGCCGGAATGGAGCGGTACAAAGAATATATTCGAAAAAAATTAGACAGAATTTTTACTTTAAAATTAAAGTATTTTTTAAATTTGCGGTGGGTCAAGGCCTAGGTTGGCCCCCTTTAGCTCCGCCCGCGCTAGTCTCCTTCTCTCTTGTCTGCTCTCCCTGCTATCCCATCGACTTCTTCTTTTATTTGTTATCGGTCCATCTTTGTTATAGCAAGAGAAGAAGAAAATAAAATAGAGCAAAAAAAAGAAGTCGACGGGATAGCAGATAGAGCAGACGGGAGAAATATAAGATGTACAACGGAGAGAAGAGAGTGCAGATGAGAAAATATAAGATGAAGAGCAAAGGTGAAAACGAGTGGACTGGAGAAAAATAGAGTTTATAGATTAATTATTTGATAACTTGAACTGCAACTGTATAATGCAAATGGATAGTTTGGCGATGTCAACTATTTTAACGTTCCGACAAATATACTTGATCACTGTAAAAATACAAGTTCACGTACTTTAAAATTTCAAATGAAAAATGAATAATTACTTACTCCTGTTGAAACAACTTCATGTACCATTTTGACCATTTTCTCTTCAGTAAACTGTATTGTAGAGGAAACATATTCTCACTCATGCAAAAGAGGTTTTTTCAAACCAATGGAACTCATTTTGAGAAATAATGACAAACATATTATTCAAGTAAACGTTATGGGCATTACCAAAAAAAGTAAAAGTTGTGGACAAATATTTGACTTCCTTAAATTTTTGTTATTAATAGGACTGTGATAGCGATTTCGTTATTATTTTTTGTTATTGGCGCTGGCGATTTGGTTATAATTTCGAAAATTGCTCAAAATAGGAGTAAAAATGTTTGTGTATTCCAAAATAGGAGTATCATGTTTTTATTCCCTAAATAGAAGTAATTACTGCTATATTTTGACAGTAACAGACTTAAAAGTTTAAACAATATTTTTCAAGATTGACAATAATTACTCTTATTTAGGAAATAAAAACATTTCAGTTCTATTTTGGAATTCTCAAACATTTTTACTCATATTTTGGGAATTTTTCCTTATAATTTTTGTGATAAAGTATCATTTTAGTATTGGTAGTATTCTGGAGAAATCTCTTAATTTTCAATAGAGTCCAATTTATGTTTCTTCATTGTGTTTTGATACAACTTTTTTTTAGCACCATCCTAGTTTCTAAGCACTCTCCTGTTTGGACATAGCCCTATTGTTCAAACATAGTCCTATTTGGGACACTCTTATGGTTGATATTGTAGAGCAATTATACTGCATATTTTTCAGAAATTTTTTTCTTTTTGTGAAGAGAATTGTGTTACACACCAACAATTCGTGTCACAAAACGAAAAAAGATTGTCCCTATGCAGACAATTACTTAGCGTTTAAAATAACGTGTGCACGAAGCATAGTTGCAAAAATGACTACTTATGAGTAACTTCGTACCTGTCTAACCAAGTCTAAACATAGGTGATATTTAATGTCTCTCCGAAGACCTTCTGGAAGATTTTGGATCATTTCACATTCATCTACTCCGCGCATTGCTGCCCAACGCTGCCGCTCATAATTTCTTACCCTATGCCTAAATTCCTGCGGCAATCGCCGCCTCCTCATCCACCACTCTACATTTCTCATCTTCAGTTGCATTGCTTGTTTCTTTGACGTCGTTGCGTGCAAAAATACCTGTCCGTACTCACAAAAATCATATTAATTACTAACTATTTATGTACTTCCTTTAAAATAGGTACGGAGTAGTACATAGTACGTAGTACAATATTTCCTCCACCCTGAAATGATATGCAATTTGCGGGTTTTCGGATATCAGAGAGACATTAAAACATAAAGGAAGTACTAGATTGCTAACTACAATTTTAGGATATTGGAGAGACATGCAATTTGTTTGTGTTAGTGTCTTACACTCTTACATTACTTCTTTTACAGTATTAATTTATACCGTGTATTTCATATTTGCTTAGTGGAATGTTAGTACTATAGATGCATAAATAAGAATGTTTTTACTTGGATTGAAATTTGATGGTCTGGTAATAAATGTCTGATCTCTATGTATTTTATAACTGTGGAAGCTTAGTCCGATCTGATCTATTTAAGTCTGGTTTGTTCTGGTCTGGGACTGAAAAAGTCCAAGTAAAAACATCGTAATACTATGTATCGTCGTATCTAATATAAGCACATTCATGCATGCATTTTTTAATAAGAAAACATTTTATAAAATCGATATATGTGTGTGGGCGCACGCGTGTGGCGAAGATTTTTTTAAAGCAAATGCCAAAACAACGTGCATCGTTTAGCGTCTCGTTAAAAAATCTAGTGTGGACAGCTTCGCTTACTGCCCTCATAGTAGATATGCCACTAATATATGTATATATGTATGTATTGTGTAGAAGAAAAAAACTTTGTTTCTCTTGCAAGAAATGCATATAGACACAAATAGAAATAAAACTCCAGTTACCTTGATGTTACCGATCAACATGGTGACAAGGAGTAGCCCACTAGTTAGCACGATAATAATGAAAACCACTTCAAGCCAATCTGTTGTGCTCTCCAGATTACCAAAAGTACTGTTTCACAAATGCTCAAACGTGTATATAATTAGACATTATATTAAAGTCTAATGAGGTGGTGCAAAGTAGCAATATTGGAACATGAGAAATAGGATGATACGAACACAGAGAAATGGAGTAGAAAATATTATTGATATCTTAGAAAAT